CGTTTTTTTGGTACCTTTAAAAAGATTTGAATCTTTAAGTTTCATTTAAGGCATTTTCTTGAGCCCTAAGTTAATATATTCAACCTGTTCTGCAACCTATCCCATTTTTAAAACCCTGTTCAAAATGTGGACACGAGAAGTAGATCCAGTATTTCAGTACTAGCCTCATCAGTGCCACACTCAGAAGTAAAATAATCTCTTCCCACCATCTACCATTCCTGTTTATATCCATGAGGACTAAATTAGCTCTTTGTGCCACAGCATCACAGTAGAAGATCAATCTGAATTATTTATTCACTGACTCCTAAATCTTTTCCAGAGTTGCTGCTTTCCATAATGCAGTCTGCTCTGGCCTGCATTTAAAAGAGGGACCTGGAGAAGCTTGAGAAGTGGGCCCACATGAACTTCATGAGGTTCAAAAAGGCCAAGTGCAGGGCCCTGCACCTGGGTCGGGCCAAGCCCTGGCATCAGTGCATGCTGAGGGATGAAGGGATTTAGAGCAGCCCTGCCGAGAAGAACTTGAGGGTACCAGTGGATGAAAAGCTGGACATGAGCCAGCAATGTACATTCGCAGCCCAGAAAGCCAACTGTATCCTGGGCTGCATCAAAAGAAGCGTGGCCAGCAGTTTGAAGGAGGTGATTCTGCCCCTTCACTCCACAATCATGAGACCCCACCTGGAGTACTGCGTCCAGCTCTGGAGCCCCCAGCACAGGAAAGACATGGACCTGTTGGAGCAGGTCCAGGAGGGCCACAAAAATGATCAGAGGTCTGGAACACCTCGCCTATGAGGACAGGCTGAGAGAGTTGGGGTTGTTGAGCCTGGAGAAGAGAAGACTCCGGGGAGACCTTATTGCAGCCTTCCAGTACTTAAAGGGGGCCTACAGGAAAGATGGGGACAAACTTTTTAGCAGGGCCTGCTGCAATAGGATGAGGGGTAATGTCTTTAAACTAAAAGAGGGAAGATTTAGACTAGATATAAGGAAGAAAATTTTTTACAATGAGTGTGGTGAAACAATGGAACAGGTTGCCCCAGAGAGGTGGTAGATGCCCCATCCCTGGAAACATCCAAGGTGAGGTTGGACAGGGTTCTAAGCAACCTGGTCTAGTTGAAGATGTTCCTGCTCATTGCAGGGGCATTGGGCTATATAACCTTTAAAGGTCCCCTCCAACCCAAACCATTCTATGATTCTAAAAGGTACTTTGCTGATTTAACAGGCTCAGATTACCAAGTAATACAAACAGCTCTCTGTTCCTGTCTTGCCATACTTTTACTACTTCAATACTTTTGTGTCACTTGCACATCGGTAATGACTTTACAATTTCTTCCACATCACTGAAACAAGTACCCAGTATTGCCCAGGTATGTCCCAAGTCTCACAGAACACGTTCCTGGCCAGTGGTGACTCCCAGAGAACCATCATTCCCAGATTGAGATTTTCAGCAGCCACTGAAGTCTTCCAAGCATTTTCTTGGAACTTGGCTATAAACCCTCAAAGTCTAATAGATATTAAATAACATCTTGTTTGGTTATTAAGAAGTTTGGAAGTATATCCCTTGTCTCTTCTGATTTGAATATAAAGAACTTTTTTCTCTAAAAGAAATACAAATATATTTTTTGAATGTTGCTACTTTGCCAACGCGGTTACTCATGAGTTTACATCCTCATTATTTTATTCTTAGTTTGCTGCAACACCATCCTCTTACCCTTATCTTTGTCAGCTTACTTACCAGACAACTCTCTGATGTCCTTAGCATCTTTTATCAATCTTCTCTGCTTTATAACTTCTCATTTACTGTTTCCATAGCAATCCTTCACATTTTTTATTTATTGTGATATGTTTTTCTTCTGCCTTCAATTGCCAATGGCTCCCATAGGATATAATTTATGTGACTCAAACTTAACTGATTTTTCTATTATAAAATGTTAATAACTTTTTCTTAAAGGCATTTTTATTTGCTTGAAAAACCCTAAACAACAATTCTTTATTTTGGAGTCTGATGTAACTGACTGAGGCCAGATTTTTTAGTGTGTACTAGACCATTAATTTCACAGAAGTACACAAACCAAGTGCTAGAATAAGGAATGTTATTTTCAGATTGCATTTAAAACAACGAAAAGGAATGTACTGTGCTTGTTAAACATCCACGAGAATGCTCTTCACTCATCACATTAATGAGTTTTTTATCCCCCTGTTTCAAACAATATTTTTGTGCTTTCAAATAAAATACTCTAGGCTTTTGTCACAGGTCAAACACTTGACATTTTTTACAGTGTGTTCTACAAGGCCCAGCTCAGCAGCAGAATTCCATTCACATTAGTACCAGTGTCACTAGTGGACAGAGCAATGATGTATTAGGCAAAGGGAAGCACGAAGGACTCATTGGCCATATGAGGACACATAAGTGTGTGAGAGGAATGTATAAACAACGGAGAACGCATGCAAAGGTAGCTTGGTCCTCTGGCACAGCCCAAGGCACAAGATAAATGGCTGAGATATAAGAAGTGAGTACGAATTACACATGCAAATTCTTTCTTCCTCAAAATACTATCCTGGCCAGAAATACTCTTATATGAAATAAAGTAGATTTTGTATAGTTCGAGAAGATGTAATTTAGAAAATTAGAAGGTGAGAAAATGTCTTTATGTTCATTTCCTCACCGTAACTTGATTAAATACATGATTACAACTTTTATCATCACCACCACCACACTGGAGACAAAATGCAGACTTCAACATGTTTGAAGTATTGAAAATGTCTTTATCTTTTGCAATACGCCTATAAAGATGTATGCTTATAGCAGAATTACAACATTCTAAAAGAGTTCACCATGTATTCAATATGTACATTTCTGTAAGGACAATAAGATATTTTTAAAAGTGTTAGGGAGGGCCAATGGACATTTGCATGCATCAGGCAACCATGCTTCAAAAGAGCTGGCTTGGTATCCTCAGTAACAGCTGCAGATATAATGCTAATAATATTGTAAAATAAGGCTTTACATATCAAAACAGCAACTTTTTTTTTTTTTACTGCCCTTGATCTCTTATCATACCATATTTAGTAACAGCCACCAGTGTATTCCTCCAATGTGACCTATATATAAAATTAGAAGATGTTCTTAAGAGCTGTATTTTGGACAAGTAAAAAAATAAAGAAAGGGGAAAAAAAAAACAAAACCACCCCAAACCCTCTAGCCTGGAACACATAGGGTCCACAGAAAACTACTGTCCTAAATGTTAGCTGTAAATCACTGATTGGTTAGGTTTTGTCTACCAGAATATAGCGGTAGCACTGACTAAAATCATCACACACTCAGTGTGGAGCTTGCGAAGTACATGCATGACTGATGGTAGTTCCACAAGTTTCACTGAAGCAAGAAATGAATATACCTAGTGCTTGCAAGCCAGTGCCCACAGTAAAGCATACATTGAGATCAGAGTTCAAAACAACAATCTGAATCTATTTTCATTATGTGAAAATGCAAATCCATTTGTTCTGTTGAACTGGTCTGCCCTCTATAACACCCAAACACTACTTTGGAAGACTTTTGGCCTGGGAACTCTCTGCAGTTTAGATTCAGAAAAAGTAAGATTGCTTCTGTCATTTCTGTCCATCAGGAAGAAGCCTCATTACCCAAGTAGACTTGTAAGATGTTTTTATGCCAGTTGTATTTTATTACAATTGATTTATCCATAAAGCTAATGCAAATATGGCCATTTAAATATTATCCTGGAACTATTTACTTATCTTCTGGAGAGAAAGCAAGGCATATCTGAATACAGATCTGTTGATTTTGAGGTTAGGTAGTAAGTTAAACAGAGAGATGTGGTTTCTTGTACTGCTTGTGGTTCTTCCACATAAACAAATCAGAGCAGCCTTACAGTATATTCTCTGGAAAGTGAAAGACACAATAATCCCAGAGGCAACCAGAACTTAATGGATTTGTATGTACTCAGGGATCAAATCTTTTTATTCCCTACAAAAAAAACATAAAATACAGTTCTTTGTAGGAGGAGGACAGCCCAAAACTGCTTGCAATAATGGTAATTATCACAAACCTGGCATGTAGGCAGGTGTTCTGTGAATTTAGGCACGTAAAAATACAAAAGGTAAGTTTTATTTTTATTTCAGACAAATCACAAAAGAGTAATATAATAGTAAGGCTTTACTAGCAAGACCATGTACTGCCATTTGGACACCTAAGTATGAGAGCTACGGGTACAATCAAGCTCTTCAAAGGCTTGTTGTGACAGGAGTGTGGTATGGGAAGAAAAAGAAAACCTGTGTTCAGCATAAAGACCATAGAGAAAGATGAAGTGTTAGCTGGACCTTTGATCCAAGTCATTTTAAAACACTAAAAATTATCTTAAATAGCTTTACCCTTTATTCTGGATACAGGGAGGATTTTTCCAGTTTTCCTAACATGGCTTTTTGCCAGCCTGAAGTTTTATGAAACTCTAGATATTAAATTAGCCAAAACAGCCATTGTGGAGTTCAGTAATATTTGAAGAAAATGCATTGTTGAGAAAATATTTCTCTATAAAATTCTCTGAAATAGCGAAAAAGGAACAGCAGTTGTTTGAAAGACACACATAAGTTTCAGAAGCAAGAAATAACAGAAAGCTCGACAAGCACATTCTTCTGTAATTTGGTCTAAAGATCATCAAAACTCATGCAGTAGAAGCGTTGACATATACACATTCTATTTAAGACCAACATCAGCTCTACATTTATAGACTAGGTTAACCACAGAAATAGTGGAATTTATTTGTATCACTGTACTTGGCACCTGGACATCAAAGTAAACCTGTGTTCAGAAAGAAGCACTCTATTTTCAAAAACCTTTCTTTACATAAAACCTTGTTTTTATTGGACATGAACGAGTCAAAGGCAGATGGCTGATCTAATTTTAGTTAGGGACAGATACAACCCACCAGCGGCCAGGGTAATCAAGGGTAGTCAAGGTTATAAGCCCCAAGCAACAAAATTTATTTTACCTCATATTCAGATTCCAGTGTCACAGTGTTCTGTTTTAATTTTTCTTTCAAAGCTGGATCAACCTGCAAGACAAACAAAAATACAGCAAAAATCTTTGCTTTTAAGAATTATTTTTTTAAAGAAATCTTAACCCCAAATAAACTAAATATTGGTACATGCAAACCCTCCTCTCCTCTAAATAAGTTTATGTGCTGTTTGTTCAGATACCAGGATGATGAACACAGTACAAGAATTGGGCTGAAAAGAGACAGGTCAACAGCCAAACTTTTCAAATCAAAAAAGAAGCACGTTTGTAACTAGCCCTGCACTTGCATTACCTTAGATACTTAAATCTGTAACTGTTTAGTTTGAAACTGTCAAACTAAACAAAGCCTTAAACATACGAAACAAGAAAGACCAAGAAAGAGAAAATTGTGATCACGTTACGTATTTTACTGCTGTTATGTTCAGTGAATAGGTATATTCTGGTTTTCAAAGTCTAAGGATGAGTCAAACTTCCAATTTTCTGGTGAACACAGCTCTTTACTAGTTTTGATTCTGTACTGACAATGCTGGTAAGTCCTGACACCTTTCAGAGAATTTTGTTCAAAGATCAAATCTAAGAACAGAAATGTCAGTGAACCACAGCAGATGTGTTCCACATTTTAACTTCTGAGCCCAGAAGAAGTTATGTTCATCCCTCCCTTTGCATCTGCCTCCCACAGGCCTAAGAGTAGAAGCAAAGGGGAAAAAGATAATTAGCATTCTTCATGCTTAGAGAAAGTGTTTTATGTTCTCTTCAAACGGACATCAGCCACATATGCAGTATTCAGACACAGTCTTTAGGCTAATCAATTAAAACATCAAATAAATCTACCATGAGAAAACATTCTCATTTCTCGACCTTAAATACAACCAGTGTTAAACAAACAGGAGACTGGTAATGTGTTTAGTTCTACATACATGGTACACTAGTCCAACTATGACTAGTTCAGTGAAGAAAAGTTGTTATTCTTAATTTGCTTCTTCTTGATCTGAATGAAAAGGGCTCAGTTACCCTCATCACAACCAATCTTGAATATCTATAAGCAGTCTAGAAAAGAAAAACAAGGGAACACAAGTTACAGAGTTTGCCTGGTCGATGAGAAGATCCACCTTCAGAGTCTGCCCCAACACAAGCTCCAAATTCTCAGAGGTACTTAAAATACACACCTGTATTGATGGGAATTCACAGAATCACAGAATTTTCAGAGTCGGAAGGGACCTCTAGAGATCATCTAGTCCAACTCCCTTGCTAAAGCAGGATTGCCTGGAGCACATTACTCAGGACTGCATCCAGGTGGGTTTTGAAAACCTCCAGAGAAGGAGACTCCACCCCCTCCCTGGGCAGCCTGTGCCAGTGCTCTGTCACCCTCACTGTAAAGAGGTTTTTCCGTGTGTTGGAACGGAACTTCCTATGTTCCAGCTTGCACCCATTGCCCCTCGTCCTGTCACTGGGAACCACCGAGAAGAGTGTGGCTCCATCCTCCTTCAACCCACCCTTTAGATATTTGTAAGCAATAATAAGGTCTCCCCTCAGTTGCTCTGAAGAATTTTCCCAGGCCACAATGTTCCCCTTGACTACAGACACTGCCTGCTAGTCAGTATGAAGCCTGCGAGGCCTCAGTTCCTAAGGATGCTCAGACAGGCAAGTCTAACACCATCTCTGCATGGCCAGATTTCCCTATCTGATCAGAGATCTGGCCACAGAAATATATGCATTTGCAGCCTCCAGACCCATTATATTGGGAACTAAGCCAAAACATCTAACACGGTTAAAGTTTGTACAGGATACAGCTCCCACCTTCTTTGTAAGAAAAAAAACCCCACCCACCTCATAAAACAAGGTACTGTCTCTGCACTGGCCTTTTACGTCAAATAATAAATGAAAACCTACATCTGTGCCTTGGCATTCAAGGCCTCCGTAGAACTGCCCCTCGTTAAAGATGGATTGCCTCTCTCCTTCTGTGACCACGACCTCCAGCAACTGCCATGCTTCATTAGAACAACGAACCCATCCATCACACATGCAGAAATGCGAACTCTCTGGGCAGCCACACAGGCTTTGGAGCTTACTTTCGCAGAGATAAGAGTGATCATGGACCTCACTGTATTCAGAACTAAATGCAAACACTATTTGTTATACTTCGTGTTCTCGCAATACACATATGGACAAGGGGAAACAAATGCTCCAGCAAGTAAAGAAACAAGAGAGTTTTATTTCCTCCTATGTCTTCCCTTCATTTAATAATAAGGCACTCAAGATAACATGGTTGGAGCAGCATTTTTACTTATAACCACAGCCAGAATTTAACTTACAAAGACAGATCAATATCCCCATTATCAAGTTTTATTTTAGCAATTTTTAGTGCGTTTTTTTTTTTTTTTTAATATGTGGTGTTTGCATGACCACACTTGTGCAAGGCAAAGCGAAACAAGCAGTGAAGTTACTGTTGCTTCTCCTCCTCTTCAGGCCCTTCTGTCCTCAGACTTCCTTGTGTATTCATTCTCCTCTGTCAGCACAAAGGGACTAGCTAAAAATGAGACACAGCATCCCAATACTCATAACTGTTTGATGCTATAGATTTAATATTGACAAAAATGCCAAAATGAAGGAGGCTAGCTGAAATTTCTCAGGAAAAAAGTTATCCTGTAGATGAGAAATGAAGAGAAGTTCTGTGGTGGGTTGACCCTGGCTGGACACCAGGTGCCCACCAAAGCCGCTCTATCACTCCCTTCCTCAGCTGGGCAGGGGAGAGAGAATATAATAAAAGCCTCATGGGTTGAGTTAAGGAAAGGAAGATCACTCACCAATTACTGTTGTGGGCAAAACCAGACATGACTTGGGGAAAGATTAATTTAATTTATTGCCAATCATATCAGAGGAGGATGAGAAAATAAAACCCAAATCTTAAAACACCTTCCCCACACCCCTCCGTTCTTCCCAGGCTCAACTCTACTCCTGAATTCTCAACCTCCTCCCCCCGAGTGGCGCAGGGGGATGGGGAATAGGGGCTGCAGTCAGTTCATCATACATTGTCTCTACTGCTCCTTCCTCCTCAGGGCGAGGACTCTTCACACTCTTCTCCTGCTCCAGCACGGGGTTCCTCTCATGGGACACAGTTCTCCACAAACTTCTCCAACGTGAGTCCCTCCCACAGGCTACAGTTCTTCATGAACTGCTCCAGCACGCGTCCCTTCCATGGGACGCAGTCCTTCAGGAACAGACTGCTCCAGCGTGGGCCCCTTCCAGGGGGTGACAAGTCCTGCCAGCAAACCTGCTCCAGCGTGGGCTTCTCTCTCCACAGGGCCACAGGTCCTGCCAGGAGCCTGCTCCAGCACAGGCTTCCCATGGGGTCACAGCCTCCTTTGGGCATCCACCTGCTCTGGCATGGAGTCCTCCACAGGCTGTGGGTGGATATCTGCTCCACTCCAACCTCCATGGGCTGCAGGGGGACAGCCTGCCTCACCGTGGTCTTCACCGTGGGCTGCAGGGGAATCTCCGCTCCAGCGCCTGGAGCACCTCCTCCCCTCCCTCTTCACTGACCTTGGTGTCTGCAGAGTTGTTTCTCTCACATATTCTCACTCCTCTCTCTGGCTGCAACTGCTGTTGCGCAGTAACTTCTCCTTCTTAAATACTTTCTCACAAAGGCACTACCACTGTCGCTGATGGGCTCAGCCTTGGCCAGTGGCGAGTCCCTCTTGGAGCCGGCTGGCATTGGCTATGTCAGATAAAGGGGAAGCTTCTAGCAGCTTCTCACAGAAGCCACCCCTGTAGCTTCTCTGCTACCAAAACCTTTCCATGCAAACCAAATACATACTCCTTCTTCTTCAGAAGCACGAGTTTTATTCAGCAAATTAACTTACCAAAAAAGACTATTTAAACCCTGTTTTGAGAGCAAACTATACACACATCTTAGCAAGCTCTTAATATTTAACATATAGGCCTATAAAAGACTTAAGTCCATTCTGCAGAACATGTTATTTTGCTCAAAGTTACACCAAAAAAAAAAAAAGGAGCAAGTACACATTTCATGATCTCTTCCCTTTTTTTGGTCCCTACACGCTTACCCACATAGAGTAATTTAAACATACTTGACTCTGCACGGAAACTGAGTCATCTGCACTTTCTAAAGCCTTCGTTGCAAACCGTTGCTTTTCAGTTGCCAAATGGAAACAGGCAGGTTACAAATTGTTTTCAGAAGAAATATGGCAGCGGGGAAAAGTATATTATAAAGTTCTGTTTCCACAGTGTGGGTACCATGCTGCAGTATCTTTGCAACATCACAAGAACAAAAAAAAAAAGGAGAACCGAACATGCTATTTTCACTCTGAAAGGGCAGATAAACATCAATGTGAGCCACAATCACAGATCATAACCAGGGAACACTTAAAATGTGGGCAGAGTCAGGAAAGTGGCCTTGCCAAAGCGGTAGCTCCTTTATATTATACATCTGCCACAAGATCCAAATACAAACACATACATTTCGCGTCCATGATGACTGCTACAGCAACACACATACTGCCAAATCAGCTAAATGTATTGAGCTATGTACTGGCAAATGAATCAGCAGCTAAATTATGAATACAAATCCCTATTAGTAAATATGATGGGGAAAGCAGACAAAGCCCAAATGCCATAACGGCCTGGCAGTGTCCTCTGCACCATTATTTAGAAGACAGGAAGGAACAGAAGACAATATCCTTTTACACTAGAGCACTCCTTCTTGTCAGGCTAAATCTCAGATTTAAGATCCATTTAAATTCAAGCTTTGTCTCTAAACATGGAATTCAAAGATATGTGGACTTCTAATTACAGCATAACTTCACATTAAATTCCTACTGAAAAACTATTGAAATATTTGATGCGAGTATTCAGGCAGCTTTCATAAGAACCTGTCTGCAAGGCTTCAAAACCAATATTGTAAATACAATTTTTCAAGGCTTTACTTTTTTTTTTATTCTGGGGCATCAGTTTGTTTTTTTTTCCCTATGTAGCACCTGCAGCACAAATTAACGAAACATTTGCAGAGTATTTTGCACT